GAGGGGTGTCATTGGCATCTAGTGGGTGGCCCAGGATGCGACTGAACATGCTACACTGTACAGGTCTGCCCCCCGCCGCCCCCTACCCCCACCACCACACACACACACAACAAAGAGAATATCTAACCTAAAAAAGGTCAGTCAGTTCTGGGGTTGAAAAACCCTGTCCGGAAAGAAAAGATAGGCTGGCTACCACCCTGTTTCCCCGAAAATAAGACAGTGTCTTATATTAATTTTTGCTCCCAACAATGCGCTAGGTCTTATTTTCAGGGGATGTCTTATTTTTCCATGAAGAAGAATACGGTACACGTTTATTGCTTATTGTTTTATTAAAAGAGACCTCGCACTTCCTGTCTGTTCCGGCTATGCTGCGGCCAACAGTGATCTGCGAGGCTGCCCGGCACTATGGTCCAGAGTCCAGAGTTACAGTAGCTTCGGGGGGCCTTATTTTCGGGGAGATCTTATTTTCCGGGGGGATGCCTTATATGTCAGCGAGAGGCAAAACTATGTCTTATTTTCCGGGGATGTCTTACTTTCGGGGAAACGGCATTAAAAAAAAAGTTCAAAATTAAAAATGACTCCTCCAAAAAAAAGAACTTACTGGTTCCGGGGATGTCATCGATCTCAAGCCTTCATTGGACCCTGACCGATTGCCCTCGGGCGCCCAGGTCCGGGACAGCACTGGCAGCGCGGGGAGCAGAGGCCCTTCCGGGCGTCCAAGGATGTTGTCTGTGTCTGAGGAGCCCACGCCCCTGCAGTGTCGGTGGGAAGGCCAGCCCTGGGTGAAGGTGTTGTGAGCCCTCCTTGCAGGGACCGTGGGGACTTGGAGAAGCACTTTGTGAACTGTCAGAAGCGCTGCAGGCCGACGCACAGCACACCGCTCCACTCCTCCTGGCCCCAACTTCCAGCAGTCTGTGCTGTATTTGTGCGGGGTCAGCTTCTTGGAAATCAGGAATGTTTTCCCCACACACGCCTAATTTGGAAAAGCTTGACCATTTATCAGCCCGTGCCTTACCTAAAACCAGTTTTGTCCAAGCCAGAGAGCCTAGCGTGCCATAAAATAGTAACTCCGCGCAGGAACCTGAGGTGCCCCACTCTGTCTCGCCACGTGACTTTTCTTAGAACCCGGAGGATGAAGACCGGCCTTTGTCTGTGAACTCCTGGCTACCTTCTCCCACTTCCTGTGCACACAGCTCCTATTGTGAATGTCTAAACATAGAGGGATGATAAACCGAAAATCAATGTATAGCTACTATTGGAAATATGAAGCTATCTTTTTTTTTTTTTTTGCTTTTAACATCATTTTATTGGGGGCTCATACAACTCTTATCACAATCCATACATCCATCCATTGTGTCAAGCACTTTTGTACCTTGGTTGCCATCATCATTCTCAAATATTTTCTTTCTACTTGAGCCCTTGGTATCAGTTCCTCATTTTTCCCCTCCCTCATGAACCCTTGATAATTTATAAATTATTATTATTATTTTGTCATGTCTTACACTATCCGATGTCTCCCTTCACCCACTTTTCTGTTGTCCATCCCACAGGGAGGGGGTCACATGTAGATCCTTGTGATCATTCCCCTTTTCTCCCCCACCTGCCCCTTCCTCTCCTGGCATCTCTACTCTCATTACTGGTCCTGAGGGTTTTATCTGTCCCGGATTCCCTGCATTTCCAGTTCTTATCTGTACCAGTGTACATCCTCTGGTCTAGCCAAATTTTTAAGGTAGAATTGGGATCATGATAGTGAGGGGAGGAAGCATTAAAGAACTAGAGGAAAGTTGTATGTTTCATCATTGCTGTTTTGCACCTGACTGGCTCCTCTCCTCCCCGAGACTCTTCTGTCAGGGGGTGTCCAGTTGCCTGCAGATGGGCTCTGCATCGCCACTCCACACGCCCCCTCATTCACACTGATAGGATTTTTCGTTCTTTGATGCCTGATACCTGATCCCATCACACAGGCTGGTGTGCTTCTTCCATGTGGGTATTGTTGCTTCTCAGTTAGATGGCCGCTTGTTTATCCTCAAGCCTTTAAGACCCCAGATGCTATGTCTTTTGATAGCCACGCACCATGAGCTTTCTTTTCCACATTTGCTTATGCACCTACTTTGTCTTCAGGAATTATGTCAGGAAGGTGAGCATCATGGAATGCCAGTTTAATAGAATAAAGTGTTCTTGAATTGAGGGAGTGCTTGAGTAGAGGCCCAATGTCCATCTGCTTCCTTAATACTAAACCTATAAATATATCCACGTAGATCTATTTCCCCACTGTCATATATAAATATATTTACATATGTACGTGACTGTATTTAGACCTCTATAAATGCCCTTTGCCTCCTGGTCCTTTCCTCTATTTCCTTTTACTTTCCTCTTGTCCCACTATCATGCTCCGCCTTCATTTGGGTTTCAGTAATTCCTCTTGGTTACATTGCCCTTGATCATGCCCTTGATCCTACACCCTCCTTGCCACTGATTTGGATCATTTGTTGTTCCCTTGCCCCTGAGTTTTTTAACACCCACTTCCTTAACCCCACCTCCCCCTCTCCCATCTTTCCCCAGACCATCAGTCCTGTTGTTTACTCCTCCAGATTGTTTATCCCGCCTATCTTATCTAAATAGGCCTGCGGGGATAATAATATGCACAAAAAACAAGACAGAGTGAAACAAAGCAACAAAGGAAAACAAAACAACAACAACAAACCAATGACCAATAAAAGGAAAAACCTATAAATAGTTCAAGGTCTGTTTTTCCAGTCAAATCTGATGGGGTGTCACGCCCTGGCCCCAGTCTATTTTTGGTACCCCCTTGCCCTTGGGACTTCCTTGCTCTACTCCCCTTGCTGTTCTGTTGCACTCCCTTCGTGTTTTGCCTTGGTGTGGTAGGGTCAGATTGGGTACAATTCCCACACTGTGTCTCCAGTGTTGTCTCCCAAAGGGCTATGGGTCAGTGAGGGATGTCATGTCTCATAGTGGGGCCAGCCATATGGTCTTCTCTGTGCATTGGCTGCTCTGAGCAGGGATATGATCCTCAACGCTTGGTGGGCCAAGATGTGCTTCACCCTCTCTTCCTCCCCCTTCATTTGCTCCTGTGTGCTCTGATCGGACAGGTCCCTCTCCTTGCCTTTCAATGTGGTCCAAGCTGTGTCTCCATTGATCAAAGTACTCATCCTCTTACTTGTGATACATTATCTTTTTTAAAACTCATTACTGTTGGGTCGATTCCGAATCATAGTGACCTCATACGACCGCGTTGAACTGCGTCACAGGGTGTCTAAGGTGGTAATTTTCAGGGAAGCTGACTCTTACATCTTTTTCCTGAGTAGCAGCAGCTGGATTTGAACCACGAACTCTTTGGTTTAGCAGCCTGGTGCTTTACCACTGCACTCCAAACAACAATAATAATAACAACAACAACAACAAAAAGCTCACTGCTATCAAGTCCATTCTAACCCATAGTGACTCTATAGGGCAGGCTAGAAATGCCCCTTCAGGATTCCAAGGCTTTAAATCTATATGGGAGTAGACAGCCTCATCTTTCTCCCTCAGAGCAACCAGTGGCTTTGAATCACTGATCTTGTGGTTTGCAACTCAGTGCCCAGCTTGTTGCACAACCAGAGCTCCCTCACTATGCCACCAGGCGCCACTGCTGTACTGAGGCATGAATACACGATGTTTTAAAAACCCAGAGCTAGAGGACGTCTAGAAATCAAATGCACCCACGCAGGCTGGGGTATGCATTTGCAAGTATCTACAGAGCTCATCAAGGGATTCTTTGGCTGGGGAAGAAGGAAGTAGCCACCTGAATGGCAGAACACTCTAAGGCCACCCTGCCCTCCTCAGTTGGATACCCTGCTGAGCTCCTGAAATTTAATCGTGATAATTACTGTTTTCACACATGATGGGTTATTTCGATGAGCCAGGCAGGCCCTCCACTAGGTCATTGCACTCCATCCCCACACCATCACCAGGAAATGAGTATTGCAGATAAAGATTCGGAAACCTTAGCAGCAAAATAGCTCGTCGCAGACCTCGCAAGGAAAGGTGAAGCTGAAATTCGAAATCCAGCTTACCCCTGGGGCCCAGGAGACAGTTCCACGGTGCTGAGTTTGCCCTTTAAATAAACTAGGAGCTGCATCTCTCTGGGGGAACAAACAGACAGACATGAAGATCCGTGTCTGTTTTACAAAGTGTGAACATGTGGTGAGTGGGGTTGACAACCAGCAGCGCTGCCTGGATTCATCGTCGTAACCAGTCCATTTGCCTCCCAGAGGCCTGTAGTAGAAAGGCCCCGGCGTTTAGAACCTGACGTCTCCAGGTTGTTCTCCTACTACCAACAGTGAAATGTGCGACTTTCGACGGCACTTGATGCTTCCAAACCTCAGTCTCCCTGTCCGTGCTGTGGGACTAGTATCAGTCATAGTCGTTGGTGGTAGACACCCTCGGGCCGGTTCTGACTCATAGTGACGTTCCGAACACCAGAATGAAACACTGCCTGGCCCTGCGCCGTCCCACAATGGTATTAGCGTTTACGTGAAATAAGGAATTCTGTGGGTGCAGTGGGCTAAGTGCTGGACGGCTCACCACAAAGTCAGTGGTTCAATCCCACCAGCTGCTCCACCGGAAAAAGATGAGGCTGTCTGCTCCTGTGAAGACTGACAGTCTTGGCAGCCCTCCGGAGCAGTCCCACCGTGTCCTGTGGGCTCCCCGGGGGTCAGGAGTGACCTGATAGTAGTGGGTCGGGGACGTGAAATGCCATGGAATTTGCCCTACCAATCCATCACAGCACTTACTGCCATTGACATCATTTGTTGACTGTGTGCTCTCCCGGTTTTGGAATTTGCCCTGGAGATTTTGGGTTGTGGGGATGCTCCAGGCAACGTGCTGGCACCCATGCTCCCTGGAAAACCTGAAGTCGGCCAGTTGAACCAGGAGGACCACGGACATCAACGTAGGAAAACACTGATGGCAAACATGTCTTGTTCTGTGTTTAACTGTAGGGGCTGCTCATGTTGTCGAAGGGGGCCAAGTGGAATATAAGCCACTCTCAGGCATCCGGTACATGTGGTGGTACCACTTACTTGGCCTCATCTGGACGAGCGAATTCATCCTCGCGTGCCAGCAAATGACGGTTGCTGGGGCCGTGGTTGCTTGCTATTTCAACAGGTAAGTCCCGCGTTTTGCTCCTCCTGCTGTTATCTGTCTGCTTCGTCCTGGAGGGTGTCTCAGAAGCCCTGGGGGACGTTGTGACATGCCGTTTACCCGGGGTGGCAAGAGTGAAACAGTTTGACAGCGTGTGCATTTGGTGGTGAGACCATAAACTCTGTCGCATGCCCGAGGTCTTTTGCTAGAAAATTCAGATAGAAACCAAAAAAGGAAGTGATCTTATGGCTTAGAATTGAAGGATATCTGACAGGAAGAGTGGCTTTTTATGTAAATATCCTTTTATTGTTGTTGCTGTTTTATCGTGGTAAAATATAGAAAACAAAAACATTCACCATTTGCAACATAATTCAGCATTTTTATAGGTACAGTCTGGGACATTAATTAGACTCCTTATATTGTACAAGCATCTTCATGGTTCATCTCCGACTTATTCCACCATCATAAACAGAAACGTGGTGCCCCAAAGCACTGCCCCCCTCTTCTCTCTCTCTCCACACCTGCCGACATCCATACGCATTGTCCTCGCTGTCCTGTGTCTTCTGGATGCTTCATACAAGTGGGGTCTTACCAGATTCCAACTTGGGTGACTGACTCATTTCACCTGGCAGAATGCTGTCAAGATTCATCCATATTGGATCCTGTATTAGGAATTCACTTTTCTGTATTGGATGATATTCTTTTGGATGTAGGTACACATTTTGCTTACTGCCCATTCACCTGCTGATGGACATTTAAATTGTTTCTCTCTGTTGGCTACTGAGGTCAGTATCCCTGTCAATTGACTTCACACTTCAAAAAGTGACTGGTCTGTTTTGAATATGCTTCAGTAAATTCTGTGAGCCTCATTTTGTCCTATGTAACTTGAGAATATTTACTTGGAAGATCATTTTAAATCTGCCAATTAGCAGTCCAACGCCTAACCACTACGTGGCCACCAGGAGAGAGCCCTCATTTTAGCTCTTAAAGGAATTGTGTGTTAGTACAAAATATAATTAATGTCCACATTAATGTGCCAGTGAATTAATTACTTGCTTCTGTGTTCACCATGGGACTTACCTAAGTGCCCTGGTGGCGTAATGGTTGGCCTGTGATGCTCACGGTTGGCAGTTTGAAGCCACCAGTCTGGAAAAAGATGGGCTTTCTACTCCCGGAAACAGTTGCAGTCTGGGATCCTCACAAAGGCAATTCTAGCCTGTCCTATAGGGCCGCGATGAGTCAGAATCAATTTAATGGCGGTGAGTGTGTGTTGCTTGTTTGTTTGTTTGTTTGGCTTCTCTAAAATGAATTAGGAGACACACACACACACACAGACACACGCACACTCACCTAAGCCCTTTACCTCCTGTCCATCGATGTCACTCTCCGTGGGGCAAGGATGAGTGTGCCCCAGACAATGATAGGCTTGGACTCAGAACAGGAAGTTCACTTCCGACAGGGCTGCTCCTCCCTAGTCTCTCCGAGTGAATCAGGAGATAAACAAGAGTGCTCATGGGGTTAAACTCGTCGACCCGGGATGATTCATAGGGAGAGCAGTTACCTCCCAAAGATAACGAGTGTGTGGGTTTTTAATAGAATGGTGCCCTTTGGGAGCCTCCCTCATTAGAGACTCCAGGCGACCCACCAAGGGCCATTTCTCTTGGCATGGAGAGCCTCTGAGCGGCGGGGTGAGTGGTGCGTGTTGCCTGGTCCTGAGCAGGGGAGCACTTGCCCTAAAGCGGCTTCGGGTAGCTTCTGACTACAGTGATTGCTGCACTGCCTTTGAACAACTACACGAATCATTTTCATGTCTTTGGGTTGACTTTCCAGTTAAGCGTGTGTATTATCTCCTCCCCTCCTCCCCAAAATAAGCAAACAAATGACAGATCCAACAATAACCAAATGTCATAAAAGAGTTCAAAGGGCATGAACACCAAGAGACAGCGAGGAGCAGGGTGTGCATGCCCGTGGGTAAGAGGCATCACCAGGGTGGAAAGCGAAGGGAGGCTGGCTGGGTGCTGGCTCTCAACAGGCTGGGAAGCAGGGAACCGCTGCAGAGGCCCATCTGCATGTGTTGGGTGGGTGCAATGAAGATCCGGCGGAGCTGAGCATTTAGAAAAACTCAGCCGTTCAAGGGATAGATGTGTGTCCCGGGATTAGTGAGAAGACTTCCTAAGGATCCCTGGGAGTCCCAGGCCCTTCCTTCGCTGCAGCAAAAGGCTGGCGGTGAGCTCTGGTCAGTGCAACCTTGGGAGGGTGTGGACTTGGTTCAGTCCAGCTGGGGACTGAGAACCGGGGGTGAAAGGAAGAAGGAGGTGAAGCTGAAGTGCTGACTAGGGAAGACAACCCCGCAGGCACATGACCATCAGGTTTATCTCCTCTGGTAGGAAGCTGTTTCGCTGGCGCTCTGCCTGATGCGTCATG